GAAAGTACTCCGCCAGGTGGGCTTCAGGTGGGCAGAAAAGTTTTGCTTGCAAAGGGAGAATGGGGCTCACTTGGAGAGACTGCCCCTGTCCCCGCGGAACTCCCAGCGGAGGGCAGGGTCGCTCCCCTCCAGCGAGCGCCCTGTTTCCTTCGCGTCCGGCAGTGCGGAGGAGCGCGCGATGAAGTCACCGGAGACCCGGCACCTGGGGCCCGTTTGCAGGTGGTGGGGACTGGCAGGGAGCGGCCAGCGGCGCCGGATGTGGAGGCTGGGGGGCGTTTTGCTTTGTTTTGGTTTTAGCCAGATTGGCTTCGAGTGCAGGGGGCCGGGCGCAGCGAGCCCGAGGCAGCGTCGCCGACACGTGCGAAGGGGCGGCCACTGCCTGCAGTGCGCTGGCGCCCGGACGCGCTGGGCGAGCTAAAGTTCAAGTGTGACCCTCGGCGGGGGCGGGAGCTGCGGCAACGAGGGAGGGGCCGCGGGCGCAGGAAGCCAGCGCCTTTAAAGGGCCAGCGCTTTTCCACGTAGGGAAGAGTCTCCAAAGTCGGTAGTGCCCATAGTACGAGGCTTTTCCTTAGAAACGCAGAGGCTGCTTGGGTGTTGTTGCCTCGCCCTTTCAGTGTTACTGAGCACGGCGGCACTAGTTCAAGGCAGTTCTGTAACTAGTGCTTTGGGGAAGTCGAGTGGAGGTACGCATCTGGGAAACTGCGGGGATCACCTCCTTCGGAAAGAGCCGTAGATTTGCAGATGAGGCGCCTCAGACACTTCTTGCCTTTCTTAGCGGGACTGGAAGTGATTCAAGGTGGGGACAGACACAACCCTGCCAGGGGTATAAAGAAGGCCCCTGGGTGGGGGGGGGCGTTTTTAGGAAGACTCGAGCTAAGCAGGCTTTCCGCTTTCCTGTAGTTCTCGCTGTGTGGCCTCCTAAGATTGAGTTTCTCACTCACCGGTGGAGGGACTGATGTAAAACTACTCCAGTTGAATTCTTGCTGTTCGATCGTGTTAGGTACACAGTCATCCCTGTGGTTAGTGTGCCAAAAGGTCAAGTTAGTTACATCATGTTGAAGTTCCTGGAAAAAGGAGCCAAGAGTTACTTTATTTTTTCTAAAGTGTGTTTTAGATTAAAGGGTATCACTTATAACTTCATTGCTAGGCATTGCAATCGATTTTGCTTCACTGTTTTAGAAAGATAAAGGACCTTTTTGAGCTCAACTATTACATAGAGTAAGTCACAAAATTGGGATTGTCTCCCAAATCCAATTTTACTTAATATTTGAATTTAAGTAGTTCACTGGCTTGTCAGTCTTACTTCAGCTCTTATAAAGCATCTGTCATTAAAAAAAAAAAAATCTCTTGGCGTTCAAAGTACAAGTGTGTAATTAACACCATTTCTTTTATGTCCTTGGAAGTGGATACAACCTACTTTAACTTGGGTTGTATCCATTTTGGGATATTTTCAGTTTTGCCTTACAAATGGCATTGTCAAAGTATTCTTAACTGGGAATGTCACTTAAATTTCTCAAGATTTACTTATTTTTTGTTTCTTTTGGGACAGTCTCACTGTGAAGTGTAGACTGGTTTTTAGTTTGCCAGTCTTACTGCCTCAGCCACCAGAGTGCGGGGATTACAGGCATTGGCCAAGATTTATATATATATAAAAAAATTCTAAGGTCATATTAGTAGGACGAGCATTAGATTCTTGTTCTAATATTTGAAGTGCACATATAATTTTATAATTAAACTTTTCTTACCGGACCCAGGAGACCTATGAAGTGTGACTATGGGTATTAAAATGGAGGCCCAGGGACAGCTCCTTGTGAACATGAGGCCAAGCTTTTGAGAGGCACTGGGCTGCCTCGCTCAGATGAGGAGCTGTTTCAGGCGTTATGAGAGTCAGTTGGTGCAAGTTAGATTACAGCAAGTGCATTTTCAGTTTGAGTAAAAGGGTATTTTAAGAAGTAAAGAAACAACTTGGAACTGTTCTCATAACTCGTCTTCTGGTTAGTTTTCGTAAAAATGAGTTGTGTGTTAAAACCAAGTTTCACTCTCAGATCTGATCTAAAAATTCATAAAGGGAGAATTTTTACTATGACTTTAACTTAAAAATCCAATTCTAAAATGCAGATGAACCCAAACCTTAAGGATTTTAGGACTGAGGAGAGACCTCTTTGAAACAGAATATTTCCTGTGATTTACTATTGGGAATTAGACTGAAGAGTTAAACATGTTTTTTTTTGTATTTACTTCCTGGGCCTGTCTGAAAATTTGAAAATTGTTTGCAAAGAGCAGAATAGTTGGAAAGTTGTTAGGTACTCGTTTAAAGTTTCTAATGTAGGTAAGCGCTGGCTGTATATGAGGGATATGCTCTTTGTGTTTGTGGGGAAGGTATGTTACATCTGTTACACTTATTTTATTTACTTATTTACAAAACATTTGTTTTTTTTGTTTGTTTTTTGTTTTTGATAGTGTCCCACTGTGTAGTTCAGGCTGTCCTTGAACTCATTATGTAGCAGGGCTGGCCTTGAACCCACAAGAGTGCTTGGGACTACAGTTGTGTGCCACCACACCCAACTAATTGTTTTTAATATTGTGTAGAACTGTCAAAGTTACACACAAAGTGGAACCAAGACTTTTGGAAAACCCAGGATTTTTTAAACCACTACAATATTTATAAACAGTGAAACTATTTCCATGACCTGTTTTCTCACATAGAAAGCTTTCTAAAGCTCTGAGAAGTAGTAGTGTCAGCTCTTATTTATTTTTTCAATGGCAGTTTTGAATTGAGTCTTTTTTGTTTGGGCATTATTTGGGACACAATTTTAAGTTAAAAGAATGCATGGACTATAACATTTAAGATTTTTAAGGAGATTTTTAGGTTTTAAATGAAATGCCTTAGATAATCTTTAATTTGGAATAAAGTTTCTTTAATTTGGTCTGTGAAAGATAGTGAATTTACTTATATTTTAAAAATTCATTAATATTCTGTCATTTGGTGGTTTTCTTTGTAATTTGGGTTTTTAATCTGCCAGTGAGTAATTTAGCCACAGAGATCTGTTATGAAGATGGCTGCTATTTTGCACACAGTCATGTTTGACTTAAAGAATTATGATGAGAATGATTGAGAGGACCTAAAACAAGCTTTACTAAATCTGGTTTGTTCTGGAAGTTACCTTAAATAAAGCAATTTTAAAGTTGAACATAAAACTCAGTGTATGTATTTGGGGAAGGGACAGTGAAGAGAGAATTTAAAATGGCCAAGAGAATTATGCAGATAAATGGGATTATGTTCATTAAAGGCTAATGTTAATCTGTTTGCTGTGAATATGTCAAGGCTAAAACATTTTGTTTAGAAAAATTGAAAACGTACACCAAGAATATGTTTTAAGACTAAAATATTTTGTTTAGAAAATTTGAAAATGGACACCAAATTTTGAACACCTTATTTAGGATGCATGAGAATTTGATTTACCTTTTACCTATGATTTTGTGGCAGATCTTTGGTTGAGGAGATAGTGGAAAGGATGGTTTCTTTCTTTGGGGCGGGGAGGCTTGAACCTATGACCTTGCTCTTGCTTTCTTGCTTGGAGGCAGGCGCCGTGCCACTGAGCTAAATCCCCCAGCCAAGTTTTTGGGTGATACTTGGCTTTTATTTTTTAAGTTGCAGACATTTAAGCAATGAGAAGAAAATACAGTGGTATCTCAGTTCACGAGCCTAATTTCTTACATAAAATAGGAAAAGATGGCCATATTTGTTTTTGTGTGGGAAAGGTGGTTGCAGTTACATTTGTCACCTGAAACAAGAGTTTGCAAACAAAAACAAAACTTTGCCAAATACTTTGTTTTGCAAATCAAATTGTTCACAAAGAGAAAGTACCAGTGTATTTTAATTTTCAGGTAAACTTTAAATATTGGAGTTGTTTGAGACTCCAAAATTGCTGAAAGGGTAGCAGTGTACATAAATATCAATGAGTTTCGTGTTGTGCATTTGGAATCTTCTCTGTGGCCATATGAAATGAGGATAAGGGGAAGGAGTACTTAGAATCTTTGATAGGCCAGAAATGTTTTTCCTGTTCTTGTGCTCTATCCTCTTTATCCATGCTCCCAAACTGCAGTAACGTATTTAGACTTTCTAAGAGAGCAGCTCTGTATTTGCTTGGAATTTCTTTGGCAGAGCCTGAACTGCTTGCATTTTTCTGGAACACTCTGACCTTGTATGCCACCCAGTACCCTGGCATCATGGGAATTTACCCAGCCATTTTTTTTGGTCTGTGAGTGCTGTAGCTTTGGGGCTTCCTGGAATCTTCTTGGAAAGGCAGTATAAACCGCATAGTGATTGAAGAGTGCAGTTTTCAGTTGCATGGAAAACAGTGAGTGGGTTTGTCCCTTTCCTGCAACTCAAGACATAGCTTGGCCTTTATAGCAACAACTCGTAGAGGCTTGCCCAATTCTTCAGTGCCTCCATCAGATAACCAACTTTTTTTGATGAGGACAAAATTCTGAAGTTTGTGGCATTATTCCTTGCTTGTGAAATAGAGGACCAGTTTGCTTGTCTTATCAATTTCAGGGTTAAACACTGTAAATAGTGTTAGGGAATTGATCATGTTAAAGTATGCTGTGACGCCGCCTCACAGGCTGCATTCTCCTGGTACATCTTGGCTCCTAAAATGACCTCATGCCCTTATCTCTGGCCCACCCCCCCCAGGCCACAGTGGTCCAGGAAAGTTGAAACCTGTGTCTGCAGGACTGGGCCCATAAAAGCAATCTGGCCTGTGATAGGTTAA